TGAGGTCAAAGCTTGACTCGGCACCACCCGCAACGACTGCAACTCAAACTCAAAATCGCCCACACGCACAACCAGGTCTGCCTCATCCCATGCACATGCATGTGTACGGCCGTTGCCATAAAGAATGAAAATTGGTTTCGCCGCACAACGCAAGTGTAGACGACAACGTGTGGCAACAGGTCGAGCAATAGAAGATAAACTCGAACCTATATCAACCAACATGGAGAGAATAATAGAAGACCTCTTGTTATAAAGATGAGCTTGGAAAGTAAACACTGGATGAACTGGTGCCGAGTGAACCCCTTGATGATACTCCCGAAAGAAAGATGGAGGGGTCATTGACTTATTCACGCAAGGTCCCTCTGTTACTCGCACGACTCCTCATTTCCCGGATGCATCTCGGTGTCCAAACCTTCCACTACAGCAACACCAATGGGACGTTGTTGAAGCCAAGGTCTCCACCTAGGAAATGGAGGTCACCAATCCGGAAAGCGCCAACAACGCCGATAAGTATGACCAACTTCATCACACGCCCAGCAACGAACATCACGGCCACGACCACGTCCTCGCCTTTGTCCTTGGACTCAAGTAGCAGTAGCATCAACCTCCATTGGAATAAGACCATCACTCATAGGAAGTGGAGGGGAAGGACGTGCAACGAGAAGTGGAAGAGGCGACGTCTCATAACGTTGTGCCAAGCGAAGAGCATCATCAAGGGTGGCAGGAGCAAGTGCATGCACAAGGCCGACAAGATCTTGACGAAGTGCTGGCCATAACATTCCTAGCTTTATCTGCTCCGACATATTAGGCTTCGCACGAAGCAAAAGACTTCGGAAACAAACGCCAAATTGCATCACCGACTCAGATGGCCCTTGGCGAAGACGATGCAAATGTTGGAAGGCATCGTCACAATCGTCGGCATGTCTGAAGGCGCGTTTGAAGACGTCCGAAAGAACACTCCAATCCTCACGAGTGGCCGCACTCAATCCATTGTACCACTGCAATGTCGTCCCTTGGAGACACGTGGGAAACTCACGTAAACGTCGAGCATCATCCCAAAAATGATATGTGGTGATCACCGTGAAGTGATTGAACCAATGGTACACATCATCCTCAGGATTCCCACGAAAGAACTCTGGCCGAACGCGAGGATTGGCACCAAGAGCAAGAGGAGTTGGACCACGTGCCGTGAATGCCGCCATCAATTGAGTTTAGTTGTTCAATTGCAAGCGCATAGCATCAAGCAATTGGACCAACTGCTGCTCTAGAGTCAAAGGAGGAAATTGCTGATCTGCCATGAAGACGGACGAAGAAAGAGCAAAAGAAGAGAAACGACAAAAAACGAGAAGGAAATGGGAGATCTAGACAATGCAAAAAGCCAGATCTAAACCAAAATCCTGAAAAGGAAGAACAAAAGAAAGGAAATGGAAAAAGCTAGATCTAGACAATGCAAAAGCTAGATCTAAACCAAAATCCCAAATTCAAGCACTCCTCAGGGACAATCAAAAGTGCCCCTCACCTCCACCAATGTGAGGGCTTGGAATATGGAAAAGGAATATAGAAATGTGCATATCAATTAGCCCAAAAACCCTAACTTATATACAGGAGCTAGTGGTCCGGATTGAAACCAATCCGACAGCTACCAAAATCCCACTACGCTAATATTAGTATACGGCATCGTAGCCGTACACTTGGCCCTTATATATACATATACATACATATACATATACATACATACATACATATATATATATATATATATATATATATATATATATATATATATATATATATATATATATATATATATATATATATATATATATATATATATATATATATATGTACATTCTCTATATCTATATCTATACAAAAAAAATAAAAAATATATATAAATTTCACTAATATATAAATATATAATATTAAAAATATATATATATATATATATATATATATATATATATATATATATATATATATATATATATATATATATATATATATATATATATATATATATATATATATATATATATATATATATATATATATATATATATATATATATATATATATATATATATATATATATATATATATATATATATATATATATATATATATATATATATATATATATATATATGTATATATGTATATATGTATATATTAGCCTACTTAGGTAATACATTAATTATAGCATTATAGCACATGGACCATCCATTTAAAACTGAATTTGGTCCATCCATTTTTATATACTTATTCCCATGTCCCAAGCACTCATAAGTGGAAAGTAATAATTTTTATATAAAATATGATAATTCAATGTAACAATCACAAGTTAGCATCATAGCATTTTAGTATTGAATTTAATCTATTTGTTTTTATATATTTATTTCCATATTCTGAGCACTCACAAGTAGAAAACAATAAATTTTATTTAAATTATAATAATTCAATATAGTGCAAGTAACTTTGGCCCACAGCTTAAGTCAGTTCTATCTTTTTAAAGCATTACTGCACTTACGGATTGCTCATTAGGAGAGTCACAAAGTCGCAAGATGGATTGGAAGAGCTGGTTAACTCCATGTAGCATGGAGAAACATGCCATTCTGTTCCATGAGAATGAGCTAAATGGGGAGCACATCCCGGACTTCAACCATGATCTGCTCAAAAGCATCGGTGTCAAAAATGCAAGCGACAGGATCAGCATTTTGAAGCACAGGGATAGCCAAATCAGTAAGGCATCGAATGAGAAGGTCTCTAAGATCGTGGGAGATGCACAGTCGGACATAATCTCGCGGCTCAAGCAGAGCGGGGGCATCAGTGAGGAAGTGCTGATGGGATGGGTCAAGGAAAAATGGCCGAAGTGCCAGAGGAATATTTTGGTAAAGCAAGGGTATCTTACCAAAGATGCGCCAGGCCAAGGCCTTGCCGCTATCTCAGATGAACACAGAACGGAATCCGGGAAGATGCTGCTCGAAAATGCAAAGGATATGGTGTGGGCTCTGCTGTTTGGAGACGCAGAGAGCAGCGTGAACCTTGACAGAGATCAAAGAGAGCTTCTTTCTCTCACAGTTCCACAGAAGAAAGCATACGCTTTCAACTTCTTCCAGGTTAGTCTATGAATGTTTTAAGCTCGACTTGATCTGCGTTTTGCTTTTAAGGCGGTGACCGAGGTGGGCGTCTCGGGGACATGGCGAGATCCGGACAACGTGAGTAACGACATTGGTGCACATAACATCCTGCTTCAGATCGAGTTCGGCGACACAAGCTCCGAGCTTGTTGGAGATGGAATCATGGTGTGCATTCACCTCATTAATCTTCTCCAAGTCAACGAGCAGGTCCTGTATGCTCGCATGTCCAATGTCGAGCAGAGCACCCTGCTCACATCCCTCTACTTCCGGAAATGAATCCACCCAAAAGCTTCTTCTGTGACGAATCAACCAAGTTCTGCTCAACGATTTACGGTCTGGAAGCTCAATAATTAAATTTCATTTTAAGTTTGAAGATATTAAATAAATTCAAATGAACTTGGATCGCACTTGCTCGATGGTCCTCTCATCCAAAATAAAGGTCTTCTTGAGCACCTCAGCCGGGACCGGAACCGAACATGGACGCTGGAATAAACTGAATTTCATCCATTCATCCAAACACACGTGAAATGCGTGTGCTTGGCTGAATAAAAGCTGAATGCTCTGGCTGTCCAAGCACTCCAGCTTTTATAACTGGAAACTTTGCTGATTTTTTTTCGTGGATGGCTAACGTGAAACACGATTTTGGACGCCGAGTCAGCCAACCATGTTGGACAAAAGAATTTTAATCAATAACTTGGTTGTGCTAAAAGCCTGCAGTCAAACTTGGTGAAAGTGAAGTAATGACGCTAAAGTGTTTGATTTTGTTTTGAATCGAGGAGTTTAATGAGCTGAAAGTCTTAATACAAAGAAAAGTCTATGATTTAAACCCATGATCATGTGAAAGTAGCTCGACAATGATCTTTGCCTACTCCAAAGTTTATGATTGATCTTTGTGGATATACAATCACTCGAAGTACGGCTCATAGCCTCATATGCGAAGAGAATGAGGCTTCCAACAGAAATTATACGATCTGAAATTTGTTGCCTGTGATCTTCTCTGAAAGGAAATTCATAGTTTTTGTCTTGGCAAGAAATTGGCCAGCAAATGCTGGGCAACCTGCTCTTACGATTTCAAGACTTGAAATTTTTTCTTTTATAAAAAAAAATGAATACATAACAAATTTTACATAAAGTTGGATCGGACATGATTGACTGTGTTCTCGTCCAAGAAGAAAGTCTTCTCGAGCACCTCATTTGGGATTTGGGGTCGAGACCCAAAAAAGGAAGATCCAATAAATTGAATTCCAGGAAATTGGGAGTTGAGAGTGGCAATGATCTTCGCATTTGTTCTTCCAACGTTCATCTGCCAGTGGATCAATCCTCGGGGAATCACCATAACTTCGCCTCTGTTCATCACTCGTGCAAACAAACGATTGTCCGCGGTGACAATGGCGGCGTAGACGCTCCCTTCTTATACGTAGACCATCTCCGAGCCTCTGGGATGGGTGTGTGGGGGAATGATTCCTCCGGGAAGGAAGTCGAGCCTGGCGATGGAGAGACCCAAAGTGTTGAGACCAGGAAACCTCAGTGCTGTTCCAAAGATGGCACCGGAGCGATTGATGTTTGTGGTGTTAGAGGAGTTGACGATTCCGCTGTAGATGAAATCATCTACTGTGACTGTTGATGGGTTCTTGCATGGGAATCCATTGATGCCCGGGACAACGCTGGGATCTCCAATACAAAAGTCTTGGAGTGGATCTGGGTCCGATGAAACTACTGAGAAAACAAAGAATGCAAGCAAAGCTAACAAAAGAGCTTGGGAATTGAAGAGAGCCATAGAGAAAAACTTGAGTGTTTTTGCGACTAAGTAGATGTATTGCTGAAATGTAATGCTAGATATGTGGAGGAGAACCATATTTATACTGAGAACTGTAATTCAGACGTTGAGCTATGATTCGGAGTGAGCCACCATGTTGGAACAAGGAATTTGGATCAACATCTAGTCTGCGAAATTTCAAGGGAGCCTTCAAGGTAAAATCAACGAAGATAGTCAACATTGACTAATGTTCTCCACTGGATTTGCTTCCTGAAATTAGAAAGGATGTTTTGCTAGTTTGATGTTTACATATGGCATTTTGCGAGTATTTCAATCAAGGGTCGTTTTTTAAATAGATAAATATAGGTAACTATTACATTTGATGGAAAATTTGTTGATCTTATTAAAAACTCAAGACCGTGTTTCAACCGTGTTTGGAGCCGTGTTTTGGAGCATTGACCGAGTCAATGAACATGGCCTGTGTTAACACGGCTGGGGGCCATGTTCATGTCACCACGCCAACATGCTGTGGTGCACGGCATGTTTTGAAGCACTGTCTGGATCCGATGAAACAACTGATAAAACAAAGAATGCAAGTAGGTGATAGACACGACTTGAGCTGTGGAAATAGCCATTTCCGTTTGAAACTAAATGAAGCTTTTGAGCGTCGCTCAATGGGAGGGCCTTTTTATGCTTGGAGAATCATCCACTACTTAGATAACTAGCCATAGAATACCAAGTAAGCCTACCATTTTGGATGCCAAAGAATCTAAAACTCGCGTGAGAAACTCTCTAGGAATAGGAAACTCTGAAAGACACGTCAACAGAAGTCAAATACTTTGATTTTGGACACAGTCAGCATAACAAAAGAAAATGCAACATTTTGAGCTGGGGTGGTGATGGTGAAGGTCATTTAAGTCGAAGGTGGAGGGGCTAAAGGTGACGGTGGTGGTGGTGGAGTGGGAAGATTTGGGATAGGAACTCCCACTGCAAACGTTTCTATATGTGTGGGAGATGGAGGTGGCATTGATAATGATGGTGACAGCAGTGGAGTGAGAGGTAAATCTGGAATAAGAACTCCTACCACATCTGCTTTGGAGGCTTCCATCACTAGGGAAGCTGGAGGTGGTGGTGATGGTAGTAGTGATGGAGTGAGGAGTAGCAGATTTGGGAGTGGAATTGGGATTGGCATTCCCACCACATCAAGTTTGGACACCTTTAGTGCTGTGTTATTTATTGGTGGTGGTAGAACATAATTATATAGTGTCTTCTATTTTTGATGTCTTGCCATATTTAACTAATGTGAAGTGTGACTGTGCCATTGATTGGAGAGTTTATAGATGATATAGTTTAGTTTTTGAAGAATATTCAAAGATCAAGTTTGCATGGATTCTAAATTGTAATAAAGAGCTTAGAGATAACTTTGAAGACAAGTTAGAGATTTTGTAAAGTAAGTGTATATCCTTCAAATTGTCATTTGATCCTTTTTCCTTACCTTCTACTTGTAAGGAATCAATTCTCTGAAGTGTCGTAAGCTAAAAGATCCTTGAAAACATGACTGAAATGACAAAGAATTCATCGGATGAGATCAAGTCTGAGATCAGCTTTAAAATTTAGTTTTAGACCAAGTCCGAGATCGAGTCTAACACCGACTTCAAGACCAAGTTCGAAATCGAATTCAAAACCGAGTTTGAGATCCAAGATCAGATCCGAGATCAAGTCCAAGATTGAGTCCAAGGTTGAGTCCGAAATTGAAATATTAATATAGGTCATGGGGTGAAAGCCCAAAGTGTGTGTCTCCCAAGGGGGGGTTGCAAGGGTTTCCAAAAGTATAGTAGCGATAATGAGGTCCAAGAATCAATCTTGAAGAAACTTTCTAATAGTGCTTCCAAATTAACTTAAGGTTGAAATTGGAGCTTAGGGGCCTTGGGTGGGAGTAAGTATAGACTTGGGTGGTGCCAAAAGGGCCCAAGGAAGTGCTCAAGAGCAACTCCTGCTTCTGAAAGAGAAATTAATTGTGGTGCTCATAGCTCATGGGGAGTGGTGCCCCACTTAAATACCTTGTGACTCATTAGTCCTTGCCTGTCAAGAATCCCCCAATTCATACCACATTCCTGAATCTTGCTGGATTCCTGACCTGTAGACCACATTCCTGATTCTCGAGACACTTCCCTATTCCTGACTCTCGAGACTTTTCCCTATTCCTAAGTCTCTAATTTCCTGTACGATTCCTGAGTCTTGAGCCACATTCCTGATGATGATGTGGCACCTCCTCGACCTTAGCTATATTTAGGCTGTCCTCAATCCAAGAGTGGTGGAGCTTCATCAACCTATAGTATATATAGGTTAGCCTTGTTCCATTTCTCCACAATCTGAATCAACACTAGTCTAAGGCTTCTTATTTGTTTCCACTAGTTTTTCTCTTTGTCTTTTGCATTTTCCAGTCTTGATCTTGTTGGGGGTCTTGACAGTTTGATTCAGATTGTGTTTTTTCATTTTTTTTTCCTTTAGCTCATTTTGATTGTTTGATTGCCTTTGCCTTTTTCCCCCTTTTTCTTTCTTTTTGCCGATGGAGTCTCTAAGCCATCCTAATTTCTTTGCCGAAGTCCTTGCAAAAATCCAGTCTGAGAATACCGAGCTGAAGGCGACCCTTCTTCGCATGCAACAGGAGCTTGCTTCACTTTCGGCTCAAGGATCCAGCAAAGTTCCTGAACCGAAGGTGAGTTTCCCGGCTAAATTTTCAGGCAAGCGTTCGGAGCTTCACGGATTCCTGAACTAGATGGAGCTGATCTTCGCACTTCAACATTGGCGGTACCCCACTCCCGAGTCTCAAATCGGCATGATTGGGACGTTGCTTGAAAGTGCAGCTTTGTCATGGTTTTCTCCTCTTCTAGAGAAGAGCATGAAAGGGGTTGTGGTTCCGGAGCTGATGGATCTTCAATTGTTCAAAGAGAAGCTCGAAGCATGTTTTGGCGAGACGGATCGGGTTCGGGCTGCTACCACAAAGATAAGACGTCTCTCTCAGGGGTCTCGTCCTGCCTCGATCTACGCTGTAGAGTTCCAACTCCTTGCCTTGGACACTCAATGGGATGAGCGAGCCCTGATTGACCAATTTCGCTTTGGCCTCAACAACGGTGTCAAGGATTTGTTGCTCACCATGGAGGATCATAAGGACCTGTCGGACGCCATCAACAAAGCTGTTCAATGTGACAATCGTCTCTTTGAGTGTTGTCAGGAAAGTCGCCGTGCCACTGTTTTTCCGTCCTAGACTCAAGAATCCCAGCTTGAGTCTTCAGAGCATACTCCTGAACCTACTACTCCGGTCCCGATGGATATTTCTGGTACTCCCCGACTCATCAAAGGGAAGTTGAGTCTTACTGAGAAGCAACGTTGAATATCTCATAATCTTTGCCTCTACTGTGCTGATCCTAATCACAAAGTAGCTATGTGTCCCAAGAAGCCTCCCCGACTGCTCGAGTTCACTCTGCCTCAAAATCCACCTTTCTTGCAGTCGGGAAACGACCCTGTCCAAACAGAATAGGAGCTGTCTATTTGGACTCCCCGAAAAAAAATCACTTTTCTTCTTTATCAAGCTCCTCACCACCTTTCATCAAAGCCACCACCAATTCCCGCAACTTCCGGGTCCCATGTCTCCTTTCTTTCACCGGACAATCAGGACTCAAGGCTCTGGCGCTACTAGACTCAGGTGCAACTTCCTGCTTCATGGACACGGACTTTGCTGCCCGACATCACGTTCCTCTTTCTTCTACCATACGGGATCTGAGGGTTGAAGGCATCGGCGGGCATTTTGTGTCTCCATCTTCTGGACTTAGGGAAACGTTGCCCGTTCGAGTACACATCGGGTCCACCATCACCGATATCGCCTTCAACATCATCAATAGCAAGTCCTCCTCTGTGGTGCTCAGTCTTCCTTGGTTCCAACTACATCAGCCTTAGATCTGTTGGAAGGAATTACAGCTCATCTCTCCCACGGCTTCCCCTGCTGTTCATTGAGTCTGAATCAGGAAAAGTTCCCTAAACTCAAATCGGGGTTTTGTTCTTGACTCTACGAAGTTTTCACCCTCTTCTTTTTCCTCTCCTCCATCTTACATTAGACAGTATCCTCGTCTCAACATTCCATTTATTCGTACGCCTCCTCTTATCTCCACAATCACTATAAAAGAACTCCTTCATGAAGAACCTATTTTCCTTTTTGCTTTGCATGTTTCTCCTGTTAGTCTTCCTGAGAAGTATCATGATTTTGGGGATGTGTTTGACAAGAAAAAAGCTAGTATATTGCCTATTCATCGGCCTTATGACTGTCCCATTGATTTATAGGAAGGAGTGTCACCTCCGTGGAGGCCTATTTACGGGTTATCCCCGTCCGAGCTTAAGGCCCTCAAAGAGTACGTGGATGAGAACCTTGCCTCCAAGTACATTCAGCATTCGCAGTCCCCGGCTGGAGCGCCTATCTTCTTTGTCAAGAAGAAGGATGGGAGTTTGCGGCTAGTCATTGACTACTGAGGTTTGAACAAGGTGACTGTTCGGAACCGTTATCCACTGCCCTTGATCTCAGACCTGTTAGAACACCTTGGCGGTGCCCGCTTCTTCACCAAGATCGACCTCCGTGGAGCATACAACTTGATCCGGATCCGGCCTAGTGATGAATGGAAGACTGCGTTTCGAACCCGCTATGGCCACTTCGAGTACACTGTCATGCCATTTGGCTTGACAAATGCTCCAGCAGTTTTCCAACACATGGCGAACAACGTCTTTCGGGAGTTTCTTGATCAGATGGTGATCGTCTACCTCGATGACATCCTCATCTACTCAAAAACTCAAGAGGAGCACGACAAACATGTACGTAAGGTGTTGGCGAAGCTATGAGAACACGGCCTATACGCAAAGCTTGAGAAATGTTCCTTCGATCAGCAGTTTATGGAGTTCCTTGGGTACATTGTCACTCCTGAGGGTATCACGATGGATCCTGCCAAAGTCAAGACTATTCTTGAATGGGAGCCTCCACAATCAATGTCGGATGTTCAAGTTTTCCTTGGCTTCGCCAACTTCTACTGCAAATTCATTGATCACTACTCTGACATTGTCCTTCCTCTCACGCATCTCACTCACAAGGATGTTCCCTTCTCTTGGTCTGCTGCTGCCCAGTAGGCCTTCGACACACTTAAGGTGGCCTTCAGTTCTGCTCCCATCTTGATCCACGCTGATCCCTCACAACCTTTTTTCATCAAGGCTGATGCCTCCGACTTCGCCATCGGTGCTGTGCTGTCTCAACTCGGAGCGGATCACGAACTTCATCCGATCGCTTTCCATTCTCGGAAATTCCAGCCTGCAGAGATCAATTACGAAATCCACAACAAGGAGCTCCTTGCCATCGTGGATTCCTTTGGAGAGTGGCGCCGTTTCTTGGAGGGGGCGAGCCATCAAACAACAGTCTGGACAGATCACAAAAATCTTGAGTATTTTGCCACTTCCCGAGTTTTGAGCCGTCGTCAAGCAAGGTAGGCACAATTCCTGAGTCGGTTTGACATTGTTATCAAGTACAGACCTGGAAAGCTTCAAGGCCTTCCTGATGCTCTTTCAAGGCGCTCCTATCTTAGTCTCAAGCCTGGTAATCCTGCCTTCGATCAACAGGATCAAGTTATCCTTGGTCCTGATCGGCTTCAAGTTATGGCAATTTCCCTGGCCCCTCAGGACTCCTCCTTGATGGATGCGATCAGAAACGATCTTCAATCCGATGAACTCGCCAGCAACATTTTCCCCCATCTTCAGGCTGGACACCTAGTGACTCCCGACTGCTGGTGATTTGACGAGTTCAAGTTCTTAGATGGCTTGTTGTACCGTGGGGAGCAGCTTTACGTTCCTGAAGGTGATGCTCGAAGGTTGGTCCTAATGGCGTGCCACAATAGCCCGACTGCTGGTCACTTCAGCATCGCAAACACCTCTCATTTCTGGCAACGGTTTTTGTAGTTGCTTGGAGTGAAGGCCAATTTTTCTTCGGCGTATCATCCTCAAACTGATGGACAGTCCGAGCGAATGATTCAAACGTTAGAACAATTCCTGAGGTGCTTCATCAACTATCATCAGGATGACTGGTTCGATATCCTTCCCCTTGTTGAGTTCTCCTATAACAACTCTGTTCACTCCTCTCTTCGAGTTTCCCCCTTCTTTGCGAACTCTGGCTGAAATCCCCGATTCAATCTCTCACTTCCTTCTCCATCTGAATCCTCTCATTCAA